TGCTTGTACAGAACTTCTACTTCGCCTTCGTCTTTGTCCAACTGTTCCTGGTTGTTTCCATCTCTACCGGTATCACCTCGACCATCGACGATCTGCTCAACGATCCACTCAGTGTCCCCCAGACATTGGCGCAGAACCTCCCCAAGGCCGCCAACTACTTCTTCTCTTACATGATTCTGCAAGCGCTTAGTATCAGTTCCGGTACTCTACTGCAAATTGGTGCCGTCGTTGTTATCATCTTTCTGCGTTTCTTGGACACCACACCGCGCGAGAAGGTTTCAAGGGTTTTGCAAAGGCCGGGTATCAACTGGGGTACCATGATCCCGGTCTATACCAACTTTGCCGCCATTGGTAAGTTTATCTATCGAGATAAACGTTTACATCAACTAACGATACCCAGGTCTCATCTACTCAGTTGTCGCGCCCTTGATCCTAATCATGATGTTGATTACCTTCAGTCTCTTCTGGTTTACCTACAGGTACCAGATGATCTACGTCAGCTACGCCAAGGCCGAAACCAACGGTCTCATCTTCCCCAAAGCGGTCAACCAGCTGTTCACTGGACTCTACTTCCTTGAGCTATGCATGATCGGTTTGTTTTTCCTGCAGGAAGATGAGCAGGGCAGGCAATCATGTTTCCCTCAGGCTATCATCATGATCATCATTATGGTCTTCACTGTGCTTTACCAGGTCGTGCTGAACAGAGCGTTCGGGCCTCTCTTCACGTACTTGCCAATTACATTCGAAGACGAGGCGGTCCTGCGAGACGAAGAGTGGCAGCGGGCACAGGCCAGCAAGTGGGAACGGGAGGACGAACACCAAGGTCTTATGTCTCAGGAAGACGCACAGCGGACAGCCGAGGAGCGCGAACGAGCCCACCTAGACGAACAAAACCGCCTCGAGGAAAGGAAGGAACGCGAGGCAGCCCATGGCCCTGGATCATACGAGCTCAGCAATCTGGATGGTAACATGCCACCCGCCGGCTACGGGCAGTCACCTCGACCCGACAATCGTGCGCGCAACTCAAGCTGGGCTGACCGCTCACAACGCTCCCGTCGCAGTTCGCGCTCGCAGTCCCACCACAAGAAGCGCAAGGACCCTCTAGACATTATGACCAACGCACTCAAGAAGGGTCTCGACGACGTCGCAAAGCCCATCCGCGACGCAGAAGCGCAAGTCCTACCCGCTGGCAACCTTTTCGACGAAGTCGATGACGAGCTCGCCGACATCGAGCCTGAGGCCCGCCAAAAGCTCATCAAGCGCTCTTTCCAGCATCCCGCCACCCGCGCCATCCAGCCCGCTGTCTGGATCCCGCACGACGACCTGGGTGTTGCTAAGGACGAGATCCAGCGTACTAGTGCGTTTACCAAGCGCGTGTGGATCACGAGTGTGAATGCGCGGTTGGATGCGAGTGGCAGTGTGATTTACAGGGGATTGCCGCCGGACCGGGATCCATTTGAGAATATTGAGGTTTAGACGGGTAGTTGTTAAGAAGGATGGGAGGTGGACTTGTTGTATCATCACTGTGGTGTGGGTGTTGTTTTCTTTTTCTTTCGTGTTAGCCGTTCGCGGCACCTTTATAGCATACAAGCATAGCGTGGAGTTTCATGGCATTGGGGGGGCATCAGATGCATTCATCGTCTTCTTCTAAGACTATTACTACCTATTCCGCATAACTACCTAACATTAGAGGTGTAGGACCTCATCCGTTATTCAAAATATCAGATCCTCCAGATTATGGTTCCAGCCGCACACAAAGTCATCTATTGCCGCATTCGCAGCCAAATCATCCGCTGCAGCTCTAGCTTCAAAGGCATCCATGAGCTCCTCAAAGGAACCCTGCTCCACGATACAAGGTTCTTGGGGTAGCGGGGGGTCCGCCCATATGCTCTCAGCCGCTGGACACGCGGGCAAAAAGGAGGCCGGGAGGTTGTCAACGGTTTCTACAGCTTCGGCGCTGTCTTGCCCACGCTCTTGTAGGCGGCAGGGGGTTCCTGCCTCGACGCGTTGGTCGATGGTGTACGAGTTGAAGCCGGCAAACGGGGCGGGTTCGAACGCGAAATTATCCTCTGATGAGGGGTTGGTGGTCGTAGTGGTGGTCGTGGTGATGTCAGGGGTTGGTACCTGGGCTACGACGACCGGCCTAGTCTTGGGGGGTCTTCCCCTCTTCTTTGGTACCTTGGGCACCTCGTTCATAGGCTTCGCCTTAGGAGGCCTGCCCCTCTTCTTTGGTACCTTTGGTACCTCGTCTTCCTCCCCTGACTGCCTCTTTCTCTTGGTAGGCGCGGAGGGAACGGGGACGGAGGGAGTTGTTGGCCATGTTGGAGGAGGCACCTCCCCGACATCATCGCGTGTGAGGTCGAAAACTTGACCATTGGTAGTAGCATTGATGATGCTACTCTGCTGCTGCTGAAACCCAGGCGTGAATTGCCTCCTAACATTCTGAAACATAGGCTTTGGGACGAAAGCAGTCTGAACCACAGGCTGACTAAACCTCTGTGGCTGCTGTGCGTATGGGTAAGAATAGCCATTAGTAGCAGCGACGCCGGGAGCATTCACGGCGCCGGGTTGTGGCCTACCCGGCATGTGAGAGTAGTATTGCTGCTGGCTGGGGACGAAACCAGCAGGAAAGCGATTAGTGGCAGCGACGCCGGGAGCGTTCACGGCGCCGGGTTGTGACCTACCCGGCATGTGAGAAGGATATTGCTGGTAGGGGACGAAACCAGCAGGAAAGCAGTTGGTGGCAGCGACGCCGGGAGGAGGGAGCTGTTGTGGCATGCTCATTTGTTGCGGCATGCTCATTTGTTGCGGCATGCTCATCTGCTGTGGCATGCTTAATTGTTGGGGTGGGTAGGTTGGCCTTGAGGCGGAGATGGTGATCCACTGCTGCAAGTTTGTACTCCACATGCGCTGGTGTTGGGTTGCGGTGTAGGCGGAGTAAGACATGTTGGTGTGTGTGGAGGGTGTCTGTTGTGGGTGTGTGAGTGGTGTTGAGGTAGTGTGTGTGGGTGGAGAATTTGGTAGTTCAAGATATTTTCGAAAGTTGTGATGGTGAATGTAATTTGACCTGAGAATTTGAGATATTAGGAGAGACGGAAGGGGATATCAGCTATTTATTGCAGTGCAGGAAAGAAGATGTTCGGACTGCGATACATCATAACCTTGGTTCATTTTGAGGTGTTTTCATGACTGTATGCTATGGATGTAACAGCGGTGTTGGAGGCCGAGCACATAGGCGCAATCAGACCAGTAGAGAGCATTGCAATTACCTGAGAATACATGGAAGCGTCCTCCGAGGCATCCATTAGTCACTTAGACCATGAGAACAAGCCTATCGAGTCGATGTCCATTACGCGCGACCTCGCACACATGATTGACCTGTGAGTCTTCTCAAAATTGCCTCGAGCCGAGCCGCTATGCTAACCGCTTGTGCCGGGGCCACAGACCATGATGGTACCAAAACCCCCTAGAGTCCAGCTTCCGACCCAAGGCACCCATATCGCGCGGCAAAGCACGGATACCCTGCTCCTCCATGAGTTCGCCTACCCATTTAGCGAACTCCTGGCGCGTCTCCACTTCTTCCTTGGTCATAGACGACTCGGTCATGGAGCTGAAGCTCATGATCAGGTCGAACCAGTCGTACACGCGCATGTCGGCAATGATCCAGCGCTTGCCCGGCGTAAACTTCCGATGAGTCGCGATTATCGCTCTTGCGACATCTTCGCCGTGGATGAAGTGCACAGCTCCTCGCTTAGCAACATCGTCTTTGGACTGGCCGAGGCGAGGCAGCCATCTCGCGGGGACGCGCTCGCCGCCGTATAAACCCGATAGATTCAGCACACAGCCGTGGAGCGCTAGCAATTCGTCTTCCGCAACGGCCCGCTTGTCCTCCTTGTCGTATGGCGCGTCATCAGCGCTCCAGTCATTGGGCAGTTTATTGAAGATACCAGTGGATCCGAGCTGCACCCAATTGTTCTTTGCGCCGTGAACAGAGCGGTAGAGCCCTACGATGGTCTTTGACTGCGAGTGCCCCACCAATGGAAAAGTGATGATTACGGTTTGCGCTGCTGGCAGGCGCTTGTATGGCTCCGCATCACCAGATTCGGGGTCGAACTTGAACGGGATCGTGTTGTCTCTTCCGGTGGTGGTGGTCGCGGCATACGTGATGTCGGTGTCCTCCAGTTGCGGAATCAGGAACGTGGACGTCCATCCGGCGCCGAGAATCAGTAGGTCCACCTCTTTCATTTGCTCGCGCAGCATTCTGTCTTGCGGGTGTGGCGATTATTGCCGTAGAAGATGCAGCATACACGGGAGTTTTTTTGTTTGGATGTTATAGATTTGAGGGGTTGAGCCAATGGGTGACACAAGGTGGGAACGACAGCTGGTGTTGTCGTATGAAGTCGTGACGTCTCCACACGAGCCAAATTAGCTGCTTGATGCACGGCCCATCTGTTCGGCGCAACCATACGCACGGGAATTCTAGCTAACCTGCAGGAGACTGATGTTACTTATTTGAAAGCCTACATACTTCAGACTTTCCCGGGCTATAGGAGGCCATGTACTGTGTATGCTGCATCACAAGGTGGAGATAAATACCATGTTGAAAGCGACGAGGATACTGGGTTTGGCCTCTGGAAACTTGGTTCTAGAGGTGTCAATCCAGCCATAAGAATCCAATGGGACCAAGTTGGATCGTACCCATAGCAGGCGCCATCTCACTCCAGACGACAGTTTTCCGATTAGGTAAATTGTAGAAACGTAAATTGTCGCAAGTCTGCTTTCATTCGAAATCTGGAATTGACGTCATGTGCGGGAGCTTGTCCTCACGTGCCAGCGCGGAAACCCATTACATCTGAAACGCGCTGATTGGCTGTTTCCGCTTCCAGGGGCCGCGTCTTCGTCATCACTATGAGCTGCGCATCAACCCGCGAGCTCAGATAGTCTGTCGCAAAGATCATTCGTTCATTGCATGCTGTTTGCGCATCTCAATTGATCATCCAATGCGAACATCACGAGTTTCCCGAGACGCGTCCCGCGTTGTCGCAGCGAGTCGCACGCAACGAGCGTTACGTCAGACACGAAGCGCAACCAATGCGCCAGCTCCAGTCAAACGCGAACTAGGTAGCGACGAGAATGCTGGATCAGATTCAGACCTCAGCTCTGCGCCAGCGGACTCCGCGTCGGATGGTGAGACGCGACGAATGCCTATGAAGAGGAAAAGAGGCCAGGATATGCCCATCCTTGTAAAGAAGGAGGTAGAGGAGACATCAATTACCGCAATCGCATCCCCGAAGAAAGTCGCCAAGGTCAAGAAAGCGCGTCGTGCGCCTGCGAAGAAGATAAAGACCAGCGATGGAACTGTCACGATGGAGCCACCTGCGAATTGGGAGGAGATATATACCCTGACGAGAGAGATGCGGAACGAGAACCTCGCACCGGTGGACACTATGGGTTGCGAGAGCCTGGCGAAGGACATCAGATCGCCTCGCGATCGAAGGTTTCAGACGCTCATAGCTTTGATGCTGAGCAGCCAGACCAAAGACACTGTCTTAGCGCCTGTCATGCGAGGCATGCAGGAGAGGATGCCTGGGGTATGTGATCCGAAGCTATATGGCCATTCCCATCTAACATAGTGCAGGGCTTCAACCTCGAATCGGTCCTCGCCTTAGAACCCCCCGAACTGAACGCGTTCATCAACAAAGTCGGCTTCCACAACCTCAAGACCAAGTACATTAAGCAAACGGCCGAGATATTGAGAGACAAATTCGACGGCGAAATTCCAGACACTATCGAAGGGCTGGTGTCGCTACCGGGTGTTGGACCTAAGATGGGGTACCTGACGATGAGCGCAGCTTGGGGCAAAACCGAGGGTATTGGTGTCGATGTCCACGTCCACCGCATAACCAACCTATGGGGCTGGCACAAGACGCAGCAGCCAGAACAGACGCGTGCAGCGCTCGAGTCATGGCTACCGAGAGACAAGTGGGATGACATTAATAACCTGCTCGTGGGCTTTGGGCAGACGATTTGCCTGCCTGTGGGCAGGAAGTGTGGCGATTGCAAGTTGGCGGAGAGAGGTCTCTGTCCTTCAGCAGTCGTAGCTAAGAGCACGAAAGTCAAGAAAGAAGCTGTTGTGAAAGTAGAAGCTCCCAATGGCAGCGAAGGGGCGGTGGCGAAAGAAGAGAAGGTGGTGGCTGAAGTCGATGAGATCAAAGCAGAAGATGTGGAAGTTGCGATAGACATAGAAGATATTGGGCAGGCGCCACGAAGAAGGCTGCAGAGGAAGAAGTAGTAAGTAGCCCTAAAACATATCATGAAGCCATGGCACGGCGTCTGACCTTCAAATCAGAAGCGCACACCTTGAACACAGTGTTACGTTGTGTCGCGTTGGTTTGGTGTTTAGCAGCAAACGCTCTAGTATGGTCCTGGAGTGGGCCCTTTCGTCATGCAGACATTGGGACCATATCGCGCCTTCCAGTCTTCACCAGGCAACAGCACGCGGTCGAGCTCTTGTCTTCATTCCTTAGTCTACTCACCGTGAACTTCTGCGAGCGTCCCTAAACGAGTGCTGACAGCGCTTCTGTCACCTCATCCTACAGGCAATTCACTGCACACCAGCCAAGTGCTGCCTGGTCAAGCACGGTCTTTGGTCCCTGGCGACCTCATCCGTGGTACTCAAATACGTTCCCCACGCCTACTTAAGAATTCGCGATTGGCCCACCCCTCAACCGCACCTGAGAAGAGAAATTCCACCGATCTCACTTCCGCAGACGCAGCCCACAACGCCGCTGCACCTACACCACAGCAGCTAACTATCACAAGGCTCAACGACCAGCATCCACTACCACGCCATCCACCAGTGTGGTAGCCAGCACCATGCCATCTCGACCAGAATACGAGGCGCCTACTCGGAGTCAGTCACAACGTGAGGGCCGTTGCACTGCATCCGAATCAACAAACTCTGACCCTGCATACGTCCCCATTCTCCAGCGCGCCTTTCCGCGCGTCGCGATTCTACTGACATGCGCCATCTACCTTGCATCATCATTCGCAGCTGTCTACGTCGGATTCCACGGCATCGCGAACATGATATACCCTCGACATAAACAAGCGGTAGACGAGTACTTGGTGCTTTCAACATCCAAGTACACAGAGGATGCACTATACAAGAATCTGGACACACTTCTCTCTAGCCAATTAAACCGCGGCTTCATGGAGACTCATGAAGACTGTCTTGTCCGCGGTCTAAAGGAGGCCAACTACGAACTCTACGGCCTCGGCTTCCAGTACCCCGACATGCGCACGCAGGTCATGGACTGGACAATGGAGAACTGTGGTAGACTGCAGTACACGCCACAAGTGGTGATACAGGATCCAACCCCACAGCAGGCTGTGCTGACATTCTGGGCGGATGCCAGCTATCGCTCTCGCCGTATACTTGAGGGAGCTCTGGGTGCCGTGCAGCAGCAGGCTCGTCGTTTCTGGAACCGACTTTCCAGCGCGATCATGCATAAGAAACCATCTCCCATCACCGAAAACGTTCCTGTTAGCGCCAACACTGGCGGAACGCTTCCTCCGAGTCGAGCCCTGCCCAAAGTACCGTTCGGCTTCGCTCTACGCTGCGAGTCCACCGAACCATGCCGTCTAGTCTACCCATCCGGCTCTTCTAAGCGTGCAAATAAAGTCGGCGTCTCACGCGAGGTCCTCGTGAAGCTCAAACGCGAGATCAAAGAAATGCGGGACGCCAGCCGCCAGGTCAAAAAAGCTAAATGGGCTACGGAGCAGGTTGTGATCTTTTTCGACTACATCCACGCCTCTATTTTGGTGGTCATGTTTGCGATCATCTTCAGTGTGGCACCGTTCGTCATACGCAAGGCCGTTCGCCCTCCTCCCCCTTCCCGCAAGACGGAACAGATCAAAATCATGCCCGCATCCCTGCATTTTTGTTTTGTAGGAAGACTGATAGAAGAGCTGTTGTTTGATTATCCAATACAGCTCCCGTACGGCGCCCGGTGGGTAACGCCCTTCCAGCTCTACTTCCTGTTCGTTGGTAACACGATGCTTCTTCAATTCTTCATCATTAGCGGACCGCGGTTCGAGAATATCAACCTCGTATACAAGCAGATCAAAGAGCTCTACTTCATCGCCCGAGGGTGGGAGGTACCTGACGGAGCGATGGACAGCATGTTGACTTGGTACGGAATTCACATTCAGCCGGCGGACCCCAAGCCCAAGCCTACGGAGGTTTCTGGCGGAACGATGGATAACATACTCGCTTGGAACGGAATTCGCTTTGAAGCGGTGGACTCCAAATTCAAGCTTCCGGAGGTACCTAGCGGAGTGATTGACAAAATGTTCTATCAGTGCGGAATTCAATTTCAATACGCGGACCCCAAACCCAAGCCGACGGAGGAACCAGCCACGGTCAAAGTAACCATGTCTTCCCCATCTGATAACCGCCCACAGCACGCGCAGTCACACCCATCGCACCAGGGTCTGGCCGCTCCGGGCAGTTCACCCCAAGAAGGTCCCGAGGCGCACTTCAAGAAGGTCCAAGAAGGTGCTGAGGCGCACTTCAAGAAGGTTCGAGAAGCGTCAAAATCTCAGCCGGCCGAGTATATCGATGTTCCCGATATCGGATCCCTCGTCGATACTGACAGCGAGACCGAGTCTGAGGACGAGCATGGTAGCTTCGTCGATCTGGCCTGTGGCGTTACGCCTCAAGTCAGCGATGTGGAATCTGGCTGGTCTATTGTGGATGCTTAGGAGCGGCGTGAACATCTAGTATGGGATATGGCACGGTTGTTGCATGATGGCATGTAGCACGGGAGTTGTCAGGCATGTCGGCGCTAGAGCTGTTTCGTCTGGCACGTGTAGTGCAAGTATGGTATATGTACAAGAACATGGTTCTTTTCGCACGGCGATCGATGTCGGCCTCAACGGCTGTCGGTATCTACTAGTAGTGTCAGATCAATATAAATGATAAACTTCATGTTACCCCCTATTCGTGACCATGATACCCAGAAATGTCGAGCATGAAGATGAGATGGTAGCAAGGTTGGAAGCCAGTGAAAATTGAAACAATCTACACCTCTTGGAGGACTTGCCTAATCGGGACTATGTTGACTTGACTCATGAGATAGGGTGATGGTGACAGGCTGGGAGGGTGAATAGAAAAACCACAGCAATCCACGGTTCTTGCGTTGAGTTACTTGTTTAGGAAGGAGTTTGATGTGAGATGAGACGAAACAGAGGTGGAAGCCCGACTTTGCTTGTACACCAGTCCAGCGACACCATGAAATTCGTACCACCAAAGACAGATACCATGCAAGAAAGTAACATTAGAAGTACACCACACTACCACATCCTAGATCTAACAACCAACTAATCTCAAACACCCGCTCCAGAACTCCAGCGCTTTTACAAATCATCCTACACATCCCCCTTCCATCTATTTCTTGCCATTTCCATTTCCGTTCCCATTCCCATTCCCATTCCCGACACCAAGACACTTCCCCGCATCCTCCAATCCGCCCAACACCCTCATCTCAAGCTCACTCAACGCATCCTCACCTGCTCCCTTCCGGCTACTCAACATCTCCAGCTCGCGCTCATCAACAGCAACGATACGCTCGCGGAGCGCACTCTTGCGACTCAACCAGCTCTCAACGTCTTCCTTGATGTTTTCCTTGTCCCAGTCCAGGAGGGCGACTTCGTTGGCTTGGATACCCAACTTTGGTCCTTGTTTGCGGACGTTTTCGAGGATGCTGGCGATAAGGGAGAGGGAATGGACTTCCGAGGCGATGGTCAGTGTGATCTTTGTGGCGGATGTGCGGGACGAAGGGTTCGAGTTTATGCTTAGGGCTGAACGGGCGAGTTGTTCGGGGAATTGGTTTAGGAAGGAGGAGATTTCCGCGGCGATGGGTGGGCCGACGGAGAGGAGGAGGTTGAGGCAGAGGGGAAGGATGCCCTTGGTCCAGATGCTGTACATGCGTGATGGGTTGTCGAAGGGTCCCATGCCGTTGGTGCGGCGGTAGTAGTTCATGATGTTTGCGGTGTTGAGTTGGCTGAGTATGCCTTCCACGGCCATGGTCTCGGCGAGGGCGCTGATACTTGACAGAGAGAGTAGGAAGAGGACGCTGAGCTCGCCGTAGATGGGGTCGTCGACGCCGTTGTGGGAGATTGTCAGGCGGTCGGCCCATGAGAATAGACTGGTGGCGTAGCGCACGGTGTTGCTGTTGGCGAAGAGGAGAGCGGCTTGCTGTTGCCACTTCGACATCTCTGGTATCGCGATGATGCGTTGGAGAAGCGCAGTGAGGAGAGCGAAGTCAGATGGCGAGACGGATGCGGGTTCGGCGTGGAGTTGGTTAGCCAGGCTGCGGAAGCCCTTTGCAACCGTGTCTGACAGAATCTCGAGGAGTTGGGTGGAGATGGGTTCCGTGTATTTGTTGTGGCTTGTGGGCATTGTGCCGCGGAAAGAGGAGCGGAAGGATGCGTCGTCTGAAGTGTCCGTGTCTTCGATGAGATGGAAATGAAGAGCGAGATACAGGATCCGTAGCAGAGACCGGTAGTAGTGCACAGCGTCAGTCGAAAACACGTTCTCGAAGTCGGGCGTAGAAGTGCGGATGGCGTTCCATACTGGAGCGAGTAATTGGCGTGCCTCGCTTGTTCGTACTTTAGCCTCCACCAGCTTCTTAAGCAGTGCGAAAGCCAGATCTGCTCGCAGGACCATGAGCTGGCCAAACAACGCTTCCGGAAGATTCGATTGTTGATTGGCAACCATGCACTTCTGAATGACACCGACAAGGACCTTGACTATGCGCTCATCCTTTGCTACGACTTGGCTCAGCTCAAGAGCCAGTAGCTTCCAGCCTTGGAGCAGTAGGACTTGAGACTCAACGAGGCCAAGGTTGTAGTTGGCCTTCTCCACTTCGGCAGCGAAGCCCGTACCTTCTCGAGGACCTGTCCATTTGCTGTTGAAGCCCAAAAGCTGTTGAGCAAGGTCGATGTCGTAGAAGAAGGCGCGCCCAAAGGTCTCCGGGTAGAGAGTGGTTCGCTTGAGGTTGCCTAATGAGACACCAGGATACTGTTGCTCGAGGTTTTGTTTGAGATAGCCGTGCAGGGATGTACTGTAGGACGGCAGCTCCAAAGCAGTATCTTCCAGGTATGTCAGACTCGGTACAACATCCTTCAGCACAGTGATGTCGCCCACTTGCCGCGAGCTGTGGAGGTACATAGCGATGACTTCGCAAGCTAACGATGCAAACCTGTTCTGGAAAGAGCGCTCCAGTGTCTCGCTATTGCTGCTCATTTTTGGTTGTTTGGGTTGTTTGGCCATCCACTTCAAGAAAGCAAGCAGCTTCTGGATCAAGTCTTTACGTTGCCGTAGGTCACCCATCGCCCACGACCAGTTGTTCTGCGCTGATGAAACAAACTCAAGCATGGCAGTATACAGAGGCCATGAAATTCCACTCGCGTCTTTCTCGGGCAAAGCCATGTTGGAAAGTGCATCGAGCGCTCGCGTGAGGAGAGCTTTGTTTCTTGAGTCATGGGTCGCATCCTTCTTGGAGCGAATCGACTCGCGAGGTGTGCTACCAGTGAGCAGGTACAACGAGAACCATTGCTGCTTGCACGTTACTACAGCCGAAAGCAAGTTCCAGACGTTCGTCTGAATGTCCACTATTTGCAATGGCTCGTCCAGTTGTGACAGCACACTCAAGAAGTTTCTTGCAGTCCGTGGTCCGAGGTGACCAAGTAGGGAAGGTGGTTCTTGCTGTTCAATCTGTTTTCGAGCAGTCTGCTTTGGGTCTCCGTCTGCCATGGTTGAGTCTTCTTGTCCAGCGACCCGAACAGCACCGCGAACAAGAGCTTCCAAAAGGAGCACGACCTGCGACTTCCACTTGTCACTAGTCGCATATAGTCGTGCTAATAATGGCGTAGCTTTGAACAACTGCTGCTCCAGGTGTGTCCAGGGCTTGTTGAGTAGTATTGCAACCCTGACAAGAACATCGGCGAAGGCCACAGTAGTCTGCGTCTGCTGCATCCACAACGCACTCGAGGTCGTGAGCAACGTGATGTCACTGGGGCTGACACCAGTAACCAGGGATGTCATCAGCGGGTTCGTTGGAAGATCTGCACCAGATCGCGTAAGGTATAGCTGGGTAAGGTACTCAGCGATGGGCGCGATAGACTTGGCAAGTTTAGCAGATAGCTTGGGCTCGTCGTCGACGCTGTACGCAAGGTTCAAGATCGTTGTGAAAACTTCGCAGATAGCGATGTTGATCTCAGGACGGTGGTTGGGTTGGGAGTATTTCCAGTTCAAAGAGCTCTCGTATATGCTGGCGAGGGTCCGGCCGAATGTAAAGAGGATGGTGCTCATGATCTTATCCGACGTTCCGCTTTCTGAAGGCGCGGATGCATTGAAGCGGCTAAGTGCTTTTGTCGGCACTTTGCGAGACACCGATCGCTCAACGGCATCCTTGACGAGCCCCTTGTAGAGTCGAATGCATCCTATGAGGAAGTCATATCGCCCAAGAACCATCTCGGTTCCGATCAGAATAGTCGCCAAGCTTCCGTTGCCGTCGCCTTCTAGCAACCTGCTCCTAGCGAGCCAGGGCCATACCCTATGTGGTGAGACGATGATTAAGGCCTCTAGGAAGTGGGTGCAGTTGACCAGAAGCTCTAGAGAAGCCTCGTTACTAGGCTCCTGGCAGAGGTGAAGCAGCTCCTCCTCGAAAATGGCAAGCACAATGTTGACAGTATCCTGGCTGCTTTCAGCACCAATGCTGATCGCCTCCAGAAGTTCAGCTGAACAGATACCCTCAGAAGCATGTAAAGAAGAATGCATCAAGTCGGCGAAGAGTCCGATGATCTCGATGACGCTTTCGCGAGATGCGGGTTGCTGCGTGGCGGTTTCGACCTTACTGCTGCCTACAGGGTATGTTGAAAGCAGCTCGACTAGGTACGAAAGTGTAGAGTGGTGATGATGCCATACCGCCACGTAAGGCTGTGAGCTATCATCGACGATAATTCCTTCTGTGCCGGCAGGTATTCCAGACAGGCCGTCAGACTGTGTCGATCTGCCGGAGGTTAATAACCGTCGTTGCCCACGGAAGCTTGAAGGGGTTCCAGTCGAGAAGAGTGGAAGATTGGCTGTAAGTTCGACCCAGTTGGCATTCTCCTCCTCGCGCGTCAATGCATAGTCCCTGAAGCCTTCTGGGAGGCGTTGCATAAGTCGGTTGTGGTTCCCAAGCTTCTCGATGAATGTAGGCATGCCGTTCTGCATGGTCTTGTCCCCGCGAGTCAATGCGCTACAGAATTTGAGGAAGGGCGTCATCTCGTAGGGATAGCGTAGACGAGCTTCGTTGAGCAGCAGTGGTCGAAGGATGTATTCGTCTTCCAGGAAATACGCAACAACCGGATCAGCATGACGGGAAATCTCGCCATTCTCCCATCTACGGAAGGAGTTGTCACCGGTGAGAATTGTGTATGTTGTTACTATCAGATCCGGGCTGTACGCAACAATGTCACTGCCGACTGCGGCGCGGATGAGTTGGAGGAACAGTAGACGAATCCTATCCTGGGATATCTGGTCGATCGATGTTCCAAATGCAGGCAGACTGGTTTCGACTAGCTGGTTGATGATAGCTAGCACACCCACTGCTGAGCTGATGTTGGCCAGCTCCTCATAAGGCATCTTGCCGTCGAAGAGCTCATGATTTTCAAGTCTAGCCACAACTAAAGCAGCCTCTTCGAGTGGCGAAGTCTGAGGTTCCGTGTTCCCTGTGTCGTTCGACGCTTCGATGAGACGGTCACGCTCTTGTTCCTCGTAGCTCGCACGGGTGGTGAGCCTCCAAGTCAGGATAGCCCAGGCGAATGTAGGTGGTGTAGCTGGGCTGGCGCCCAACAATTTGGCCTCTCCGAAGATGGTGGTAATGCTCTCTACAACTGTGCCGTTGAGAATGTACGATGAGGAGTCCCAGGCGTTGCAGTTACCGGATTCGAGATCATCCATGATTTTGTCCACTTTCAAGATGGTTAGAGACATGAGTGAAGTCAGCAGTTGTATCACCGGAATGAGAGGTTCCTGGCGAGCCGTGACTGCAGGGAATTCGCGGAAAAAGCCGCGGAAACTGAAGGCTTTGAGCCAGTCCTCGATGGTAGCCGCAGGTAGGAAGTCCTTCGCGACCAGGTCTGCGTGTACCAAGGCCAGGTGAAGGATATGCAGCATCTCCGTAGTCTGCGCGACGACCCATTTCTCTGACGCAGGCTCTAGTATCGACTCGTCGACGTCCCAGCCATAGCCGGTGTCTAAAGCGTCGCATCTTTTGTTGAATGCTTTGAGCAACTCGTCGAGCGCTTTTCCGCCCGATGGGCCATCTTGTGCAGCTGCGATAGCCTGTCCAAGCTCCTCAATCCAGCCGGCGCCAATGCTAAGGTAGTCGTTGCCGTAGATGGTTTGGCTGCGCAGATTCGAGGCGCAGCCCCATGAGACGAGAAGCTGGCTGATGCGTATAATGGACGCGCACGTCGAATGGTAGACGTCGAGGATGTGGAGGCGGCGCTGGTCCTTTGCATCGAGATGCGCGGTCTTGGAAGCGAGCGGTGAGGCCATGATGGATGAGTTTGGGACGAAAGTCGAGGCGCCTAGATTTCCGACTCCAGCGGCTTCCTGTACGCTGAGGGCCTCCTCTTCAGTGAGTCCACTCAACAGCTGTGCGGTTGGCCTGCCCTGCCATTCCTGGACGACCAACTGCAGCGCTGCATATTCTGATATCTGCGCCTCTTTGGCCAGCCACAGGCTGTCGTCCTTGATCTCTGCTACATCGTAGTGTTCGCTCTGGGCGGGCGTGACGCTGATGGGCGCGGTCTTTGATTCGAATTTGCTCTTCTCCTGCGACGACGGGTCGGGAAAGGGCTTCCACGGGTGGGCTAGGATGTCTCTGTTCTCGTTGGCGGTGAGGAAGGCGCGTAGGGCGTCGCTTTTGGACGCGGTTTCGGGGTCGCAGAGGGCGCGGTATGCGATATCCCAGGTCCTGCTATCGTCAGCTACGTTGCTGCGCTCGATGCATGTAAACATACACAAGCTGCTGCTCGCCCTTGAGGCACTTGCCCAGGTCGAACTCGGGGGATTGGATGGGGGCCATGGTTGCGCTGCAGTGCGCGAGTAGGAAATCAGCTACCCAAAGGCCATGAAGGTGCTGGAGAGGCGTGGGGGTCGTGTTGCCGAATGTTTGGCGTCAATGGCTATGAAAGTCGCGAAAGCCAAAGCTCACGCGAAAGTCGAGCTAGTACGTGCAGGGATCATCACAAGGGCTCTTTCTTGCGATCCCTCCCCGACACCTACACCTACGTTCCACACACACGCTTCAATGTTTTGGAAAGAGAACAGACGCGCATAGAGACATTAATGCCATTTATTTCCGCTCGTATTGGTTCGCGTCGCAATGGGATCTCGTCTGATTTCCAATTACCTTCTGCCAACAATGCAGCAGGAACTTGCCCGCGGACTGCCTGCACGCAGAAACAGACCCGTTCTGTGGTATACACAGAATCTGAATAATCTGTTACATTCTCTACATCCAAGAGGTCGCGCAATAGCGGCCTTGCTGTACTAAACCTGAGGTACAGCACCGTAGCACTAAGGACCGATTCATGCCACCTCCGTGCTAACTCCGCAGCCTCAATATCTGAATAGTGCATCATTGAGTCACCCCACCACTCTGCTACACAGCCATTCCTTCGCACCTTCCCGTCCCAAAGTGCACTCACATCTCCCGGCGCGCACTCCGTTAATCGGCGTCTAATATATTCCAAACGTTGACCTCGCCGTCAAAGGGCCGGCGCGCTTTCTGCCATCTGACCGCCGGAGGGTACTCAGACGAAGCTATATAACAGCCACCGGGCTTCCAACGCGACGGCAACGCTGACGCAGAGCACCGCCCAAGATGCCCGCCCTCGAACTGATCGACCACTCGCCCAGCAATCCCACGCCCTCTCCGCCGATCCCCACCGCTTCCAATGTTGTACTCATAGACAACTACGACTCGTTCACCTGGAATGTGTACCAGTACCTCGTCTTCGAAGGCGCGAAAGTGACCGTATACCGGAATGACGAAATTACACTCGAAGATCTCATCGCGAAAAACCCTACACAACTGGTAATCAGTCCAGGTCCAGGACACCCTGAGAAGGATGCAGGCATTAGCAATGCGGCCATCAAGCAGTACAGCGGCAAGATCCCGATTTTCGGCGTGTGCATGGGCGAGTGAGTTCCCAGTTCCCAGTGGGCGCAACAGGCGGGGCAGTGCTGACACGATCAAGACAGTGCATTTTCTACAGCTACGGCGGTACTGTAGACGTCACAGGCCAGGTCCTGCACGGCAAAACGTCGCCCCTCAAACACGACGGCAAGGGCGTCTTCGCAGGCGTCTCGCAAAATGTCCCTGTTACGCGCTACCACTCCCTCGCCGGCACCCACGGCACTCTCCCAGACTGCCTCGAGGTAACTGCGACCATACCCGCCAACGAAGAAGCCGAAGTCAAGGAAGTCGTTATGGGCGTGCGACACAAGGAATACGTCATGGAGGGTGTACAGTTCCACCCGGAGAGCATCTTGACAGAGGACGGTCGGCTCATGGTGAGGAACTTTCTAAAGATGCAGGGAGGCACCTGGGCCGAAAATGAGCGACTACAGAAAGAGGCACATGCCCAAGCAATCGGTGCTGGTTCCAACGGCACAGCGACCGGCGCAAAGAAGGACAAGCAAACATCCATACTGGAGAAGATCTACGACCATCGCAGGGCCTCGGTTGCTAAGCAGAAGGAGATTCCGTCCCAACGACCCAGTGATCTACAAGCTGCGTACGATCTCAACCTAGCGCCTCCTCAAATCAACTTCCCCGAGCGTCTCAGGCAATCGCCCTTCCGACTGTCACTCATGGCCGAAATCAAACGCGCATCACCCTCCAAGGGCATAATTTCACTGTCCGCATGCGCTCCCGCTCAAGCAAGGCTGTACGCAAAGGCCGGTGCAAGCACGATATCCGTACTGACTGAGCCGGAATGGTTCAAGGGTAGCATCGACGACCTCAAAGCTGTTCGACAAAGCTTGGAAGGCATGCCGAACCGTCCCGCCGTCCTGCGCAAGGAGTTCATCTTCGAGGAGTACCAGATCCTGGAAGCTAGGCTCGCGGGTGCCGATACAGTGTTGCTAATCGTCAAGATGCTGGATGAAGCAGTCTTGAAGAAACTCTACGACTATTCCCGATCACTCGGAATGGAGCCTCTCGTCGAGGTCCAGAACGCGGAAGAAACGGAGATTGCGGTCAAGCTGGGCGCTCAAGTCATTGGTGTGAACAACCGTAACCTTGTGAACTTCGAGGTCGACATGGAAACTACCAACCGTCTAATCAACATGGTTCCGAAAGAGACGATCTTGTGTGCGCTTAGTGGTATTGCCGGGCCCAAGGATGTCGAACCATACATCAAGAGTGGAGTTGGCGCAGTGTTGGTGGGTGAAGCGCTGATGCGCGCATCCGACACCGCTCAGTTCATCGCAAAGCTTCTGGGTGGCTCATCTACCAAGAAGACGGGAACAGCATCAAGCCCGATGGTGAAGATCTGTGGTACTCGCAGTGCCGAGGCCGCAAAAGCCGCAATCGAAGCAGGAGCTGACCTTATCGGCATGATCCTCGCGCCAGGGACCAAGCGAACAGTCACGGCTGAGACAGCTCTGGAAATCTCGGAAATCGTACACAAGACCAGAAAGCCTGTAGTCTCGAAATCCGGGCTACTTGCTGAATCAAAGACCGCCACCGATTTCTTTGAGCATGGCGCAGCACGACTAGTGTCAAGTGACAGCCACGCGCTTCTCGTAGGCGTGTTCCGAAATCAGTCACTAGAGTACGTACTTGAACAGCAACGACTGCTGAATCTAGACGTCGTACAATTTCATGGTCAGGAGCCATTAGAGTGGGCAAAGCTTGTCCCGGTTCCTGTCTTGAGAGCATTTAACCCGCATAACCTTGGCATTGGCTCAAGAGGGTATCACGCTCTACCACTTCTGGATGCAGGATCCGGCGGCTCGGGTCAGCAGTTGGATCTTTCAGATGTCAAAACAGTATTCGCGAAAGACGATGGTATCAAGGTCATATTAGCTGGAGGATTGAACCCTGATAATGTCCAATCTACGCTCGCTGGTCTTGAGGAATACCGGGACCGCGTGCATGCTGTAGACGTCAGCAGCGGTGTGGAGGAAGATGGCCAGCAAAGTCTGGACAAGATACGGGCATTCATCAAGGCGGCCAAGAACCAGTAGTGGCGGTTCAGACCACGACTATCGAAGCTGAAGGCTGTCTTCCGAATCATCAAATGTAACAAAAATGGCCCAGCATCCTTTTGATCTCTCTTTCAATACTCTTTTTGGTCCTCTATTTCTTACAAGTCAGACATCTCAATATTTCCATAATGGTGGTCTGTGCCGCCGCAAATAGCGGCCTGGAGTCGCTTTGTCGGCGTCTCTTACCTCTTGATGGCAGCCGCACGGTCCCGGCAAACGCTGTATCACTTCAACCGCTGCCCACCACCACAAGGTAAGACCAACGAGGGTCTCGCCAGATTTACACCCTCAATCCGGACACCGTAAGTCCTCATCTACGTCCTCAAGCAAGTTTGCACACCGTCACTCCTACACTCTACAGTCTAACCACCGCGCCGCTACAATGGGTGTGTTGGACAAGCTTACTATTGCCGTTGTTGGTACCCATCCCCATGATACTAAACAGATCAAAGCCTGGATCGAACGAAACGGCGGCAAATACTCTGCGAAGATCAACAAGAGCGTCACCCACCTCATCGCCAGTAAAGAAGCATACAAGAAACCCGCCGACGCTGTACAACAAGCCACCGACCTCAACATCCACGTAGTCAGCTATGACTGGTTCGACGACTCGTTGCAAGCGAAGAAGAAGCTGGGTACTAGGAAGTACACGTGGGAAGTGCTTATGAAAGAGAGGAGGAAGAAGAAAGATCTCAAGAGGATAGGTACTCTGGCGGATGGCAGTAAGTTCAGGAAAGGTTGTGAGAACATCGAAGGGTTGACTGGATCAGGTACGTCGAAGACATCTCCCGTTGTTGCGAGAAAGCCGAGAAAGAGCAAGAGTTTCTTCTTTGCCACGTCTGCCCCGGCTGTTGCGCCCATCCCTTTTGTTTCTGCAAAGGAAGACCTCTTGCGTAGGAGAGCGGAGAGAGCAGCTGCATTGGCTGAGGGTGCTGGTGCTGGTGCTTGTGAGGCCCAGGCAAAAAACTCTATTGAAGTCATGGATAACACTCCGAGCCCATCCAACCACTCTCCAAAGCCTTTCGTTTCTATCCAGACACCTCTCAAGAAATGCAAGCCCCCTGGTACCTCCAAGAAAGTACCTCAAGCTAAGATTTCTCACTGGAAAGAGGATTATCACTACTATCAAGATACGGACGGCTTCGAGTACAAGATCCTGCTTGTACGCGTGGACAATCCTCCCTTTGGCTCTGCAAATGTAAGCTCTAACCGTAGGAAATGCTTGCGAGACATATACTGACCTCGCACGTCTGCCTTTACAGTACCACATTGCGCTATTGGAGAGTCACTCAAAGCCGCATGTGTACTGGGCTCTAGTGCAGTACAAGCCTGCTAAGATCCTGCCGACAGCGGAGAAAGAGGAGAAAGGAGATGTGAAGCAACAAGTAAGTCTTAGCGACAACCTCGCTCAGCACCCCGAAGCAAACCGTCTGCTTTCCATCGTCACCAAGCCAGCTCCAACGCCAGAGGCTCCGTACAACGGCGAGCTATGCCCCCGCGGCAGTGACTTCGCTACCGCCATGCGCTCATTCCGCCACGCCTTCCGCGACCTTACCCTCCTCTCTTGGGAAGAACGCTTCGACGACGACAAGACCCTCCAAAAAGCGCGCGCTCAGCTCCTCAACATCGAGCCCTTCTGGTACGGAAAACCGAAAATGGGCATGCCAATGGGCAAGTAGCATCCACTTACAAGAAGACATGAGACACGTGCTGACTTGATTTCAGGTCGCCTACCCCAAGCACCAAGCATGTACACAGGCACAACAACCGGCCTCGAAGTCCTCGGCGACATATCCGATACCTACGTCCGAGGCACCTCACTCCTCCCCTCTATATCCCACCCCCTCACCCGCCACGGCTTCATCGGCGGTCCCATCCAGCGCGACGCCGAAGACGCTCGCAAAGCCGAAGAAGCCCGTCTCCAAGCCATCGCCGACGCGGAAGAAGTTGAAAAGAGGAAGGCAGGTCTATTGCGCGCGAGGGATATGAAAGTCAACCATAACCGACCCATGTTTAATGGGCCGATGGGTAGACCGACGGTGGATGCGTATGGCCAGCATATCAATTATAGGGGCGATGGGGGCGTGAGTAAGTATTCGGTGCCGATGCCGGTCGGGGGTGGAGGGAATGCTAATAGGGGGTTTGTGGCGCCGGAGTTTGCACATCTGTTGGCGGGGGCGAAGAAGGAGAGGAAGCCTTGGCCGAATCAGAGGGAATGAGTGAGGGAGATGAGATGAGGCGTTTTGGTGCTGGATGTCTTTGGGACTTGAGACATGAGGTGCGAAAGAGAGACATTGGTTCTTAGGCGTGGGGATTGTCGATCACGTTTGGGCGGCGATATTCTGTATCTTGCACAGCATGGTTTCAGAAACTACGAACATACTTTGCCTTTAATCCTCAAGAATCTACACTGCGGATGGAAGCTTGCTTCGAAGTTGCTCTATACTTGGTATCCACTCAATGAGGCAATGCACTAACCCAATGTGTCACTAGAGCCCAGTCCCCAAGACGCGTCCCTCTATCTCTCTTCCCGTCCCACCTACACCACGCTCTTCATTAGCCTCCATGTCGCCTGTTACGCGATACGTCTCTTTTATCGAGTACCTGGCTGCGATTAAGACATCGCGCGAAACCTAAAAACGCGCAAAGCCATGCTGCTTGCCGCGGAGCAGCTTGACGTAAGCAGCAAATAGGGTAACGCATACCACAACTATTTATGCGCAATGCTTGCCACTCCTATTGAGAACTATTGTAATCGCACAGCTGGACTTGATCTATCCTATGGTAATGGTACAATTTAGCAAAGTTGGCTTGCTTGTGGAAAGCACGGTAAAGCAAATCGGATATAAGTTTGCAAGATGTCAAGAGAGGGATATAAAAATGTCTACAGGCCCCGGTATTAATTCCCGCTTGGTGAGTAGGATAATCTCAATATTTGACCCACCCGAGGTACCTCTTCAGTCTAATCTCAGCAACGATGGTTTGGTGTTTCAACTGCGCTGGCCCGCATTATCAGCAGAGCTGTGAGCTACTTTGTGTGGGCTGCCCTAACTCTACTCACGCGGGAAAAGACTGCGCTAATTGCCCTGTACGACGAGGAAGCAACTTCCGCGGTGGTAATGGCGGTTCTTTTAGCCAAAGAAGAGGTGGACGCTCTACCGCTCCAAACGGCCATTACGGTTCTGGAGCTTGGAACAGTGGTGGTGACCCCGTCTATCCAACAATGGCATACTCGCCAAACCTCAATATGGACCAGCAAGGAATATACTCGTACGCCCCTAGTTCTATCCAGCATACCAGCGGAATCTGTTACCAAAACAACGCCCCGGGGTACCCATTCTCTCCAGGAACGGTTACTCATCCTAACACCCACGAGCAACCTGTGTCACCCTTTAGAGCAGCCAGGTCAGGACAGCAAAGTAAGTCAACCCAACACAATTAATTTTCATCTACTAACCCCACAGCTCCATGGGACGTCCTTCAACAACGCCTGTATGCAAACCGAGAACATTTCCCCTGTAGCTGGTGCGGAGATAACTATCACTGCTTGCTTGATTGCACTGGCCAGCTAACTAAATGGCGCGCTCCTTTGCGTACTTGGATAGTTCAGAGCGGCTACGAGAGCCAAGCAGCGTTTTTCGTCGCGGGTATACAGGAACGGCATAGACCGGACGAGGTTGCGCCTTTTATGACTGCACGGCGCAGACCTTATTACAGCCGGACGGAAAATCCTAACTTGATGGGAGTTGCGGGGGCACAAGGGCAAGGGCGAGGAGAAGGACAAGGAGGTGACGATCGAGGATCGGGTACCTCTGGTCGTCGGGATGGAACTCGGCAGGATGGAAATGGTCAGCCTGGTGAAGACCAGCCTGCTCCTCTGGCATTGCCCTCAACGCAGACTGCTTTCGACGAACAGCGCTCACCCCAACACCTCAACGATCAGTCTCATATTGATAAGCATTAACCTGAGAAGTGCATGGCTGCCAGGACGGAAGCTGATCTCATTACGACGGATACTGGTTCCACCGACGCTGCCAGCTCATAATAGGGAAAACCCGAACACCCTAGAGCCTACATCAAGATGAGAACATGCAAAGTAGGGAGTTTAACGTCAACGTAGGCTCCAGGGTGTTCAGCTTTTCTCTTGTATAAGGTGGTAGAAAACGTATTGGTCACGAATTGACACTGATGTGCTTCGCCGTGTACAAGGTCATCTCTAACCTGTATAGTTCCCAGGCTTCACCAGGAGAATGCGCTGAGTGAGATGCCATATTGACCAAGAAGGGTGGTGCTTGCGAGTGGGTGCCTTAGGTCAATAGCCTATGTTGTAGGCGCTGACACTGTAGTAGAGTTGTGGGCGCAGTCATGTTCTCCGGGTTGCACGGTTGTCTCTGAAGGTAGCCAGTCAAAGATGGCGGCAGGGCGGGATCGATATCGCATCGGACATTACCTAGGTACCTCTTTCGGGTTATTACCGTGGGCGACAAGATCTAGACCTGAGTACGCTGCAGGCCTTGTACTTCTACTCGAGGTCAATCGCGCGAACAACACACAATATCGAAAAGATGAGAGTGTACAATGAGGTCCTTCAAAACGATGCTGCCTTGTCGTGATGATGGAGACGGTGGTGCTGCGCCTCGCACGGGACTGCACGCTACGCCCGGGCGATCGTCACTAGCGATGACTAAGGGCGTACCTTGCCCGTTTTCGTGCGATTGGTGACGTGCGTCCTCGCGGCTCAGAGCTCGCTGATTCAACAGGGTCACTTCATTTAATTTCCCTCGCAGCCCACATCAAAACAAGGCCACGGCAAGGTTCAATTAATCGATTTTGAGCACTGCCAGTCCCAGCGACCCAGCATCCGCTGTTCATTTTACCAAGCCTAGTCTTGTTGCGCGGAAGAATTGCTGGACTAATCGCCGCGCGCTCACGTCCGTCGGTCAGCGCAAGATTCCGTAGCTTCCGCGGCTCATCTCAAGCTCCACTGCGGCATTCCGAAACCATCGCTCCAACGCTGTCAATCCATCCCAGCCAACACCAAACATGTCGCAAAACTATCAACAATACGGCGGCAACCCGTATGGCCAGGCCGAGGCTGGATACGGCGCGCAATCAAACCCATATGGCGGCACCGGCTACGGCTCAGCCAACCCCTATGACGGAGGAGTAAGCAGTCGCGACCGCGCGGCTTGAACTCAAAGACTGACGCGACGAAACAGTATGACGGCCAGGCCCAGCAGCTCAGCCCGCCGGCGCCCCTCCAACGTCATGGCGATTCCAACTATTCGCAGCCATCGCAATATTCGCAACCCGGCGCAAACACACAACCACCCAACGTACCGCATACAGACGTGCCAATGAACAACATGCCTGCGTACGGTGAGCCGACTGGAAACCCGGGCATGGAGGCGCCAGGACCGCAGCCCCTCAGCCGCGACGACTTCTTCGCGCGCATCGAAGGCGCAAAGTCGCGCATCGGCCAGCTCACATCCGACATCCAAGCCATTGCAAGCGTCCACCAGCGCATGCTATCGTCGCCCGACAACCGCTCCACCGCCGAGCTCGAGAGCATCGTGACCGCCACGCAGATCAGGAACACTCAAATCAAGGACGAGATCAAGTTCCTCGAGAGGGATGCCGTGCGCGACCCCAACGACCGGACGAAGAGGACGCAGGTGGAGGCGCTGAAGAGGACCTTCAAGACACAGCTAGAGGACTTCCAGAGGGAGGAGGCAGACTACTCCAAGAGGTATCGCGAGGCTGTCGGGCGCCAGTACCGTATCATCAACCCGGATGCGACGGATGCCGAGGTCAACGAGATTGCTAACTCGGATCTGGGTGACGAGGGCATCTTCACACAAGCTGTAAGTAGACAATGATCGCACGAACCAAGAAATACGTCACTAACAATCCGCAGCTCAAGTCCAACCGTAGCGGCCAAGCCTCGAGCGTCCTTGGCGCCGTCCGCGCCCGCCACAATGACATCCAGCGCATCGAGAAGACCATGGGCGAGCTTGCCCTTCTCTTCACCCAGCTCAACGAGCAGGTCGTCTACCAAGAACCCATCATTCAGCGGACCGAGGAGCAAACCGTACAAGTCAAGGACGATACCGAGAACGCGAACAAGCAGCTGGACGAAGGCATCAAGTCGGCTAGGCGCGCGCGTAGGCTCAAGTGGTGGATCCTCTTGACCGTCATCCTGATTCTGGCCGTTATCGCGCTGGCACTTGGACTATACTTTGGATTGAAGAACAGGGACAACAAATAGAGGATGTAATGACCATGTGGCGGTGTAAGGAGAGTAGGATGCGATATCATGTTGGGACTATGTTTCTGTATAGAGGAGTGGATGACTTCTCATTGTTTTCTTATTATTAGTAATGATCCGGGCTGCACTCCGCAGTGACGAATGTGTATACAAAGGAGGTTTTCTTGGTTGTATCTGAAGGTATGCGCGTAGTTCTATCGAGATGTAAACACAATGCAAAGTAAAGTCTACTTTTAGAACACCCGTTCGTGAGGTACGAGGCGGTTCCGGAAACACGAGCGCCTATGCGAACGGAAGTCGGCAAGGAATAGTTCTTAGCGCTGGTGGTATGATGGCAAAAAGCCCGTAAAACAAAGACTACGTTCCCAACATGAAAGTCTCGACCGCTACTGGGATTCTGGACCGGCTGGCGCAGGTATAATCGATAGAGCTGCGGCAAAGCAGCGGGTGATCCGTTTGGGGAGAGGGCGTGCTCTTGAACTCGATCCTAGATGTGCTGGCTGGACATGTTGTGTTGAGAAGGCTGGCCGGGCTCTAATAATACGATGGCGAACTAGCCCGCCAGAAAACCGCCTCCCAGCATTTGAGATACGGAGGCTGATGATTAGCCGATGAATTGCCAATGAAATGCCTCACCAGAATCCAAGGCTCGTGATGTCAAGAGACAGTGCCAGGCGCGGACCGACTACCTCGTTTCACAGGACAGCGTAGGCAGTACGTATCGCCGTTTCGGAAGCGAGCAGCGACCAGCCAGCCATGCGATCCATGGATGCAACAGCAGCCCACGATGCCTCCACATGACGTCGTCTATCCAATCTTAGCCGTGGGCCGTCATTTCGGCAGTGTCACATAACTGCCAAGGATAGCATGTGCTAGGTATATAGTAGGCCTATCCTATCTTAGTTAGCTTGTTAGACTTATACATTAATTTACACTCTACATATACTATAG